TCCTCTCTGAAATCAATAAAAATATATTTTAAAAAAACAAACACAAAGCACATCCAAAAAACACTGGCAACACAGCACACTGTGGAGTATCAGTTTTTACCCCAGTGATCGTGGCTGACTGGGAGCTGCAGCTTGCTGCCACTGCCCAGCGTCACAAGTATCATACCGAATATCGCTAGCCTGGGAAAAGATAAAAATTGAAAAGTACAGTTTCTACTGAATGCATATCACTTTTGCAACATTGTAAAGTGGAACCATCATAAATTGGGGACCATCTATATACAAAAAGAAGTTGATTTTCTCTATGCTGGGAATAACCAACTTAGAAAATGTAAGGGAAAAAAATCCCATTCATAATAGGAACAAAATAATATATATAATAATTGGGAATAAACTAAAAAAAAAAGTGTAAAACCTATGTGAATAAAGCTATGCAAATCTGAGAAGCATAAAATCTAGAATAAATGAAAAGACATATCATGTGTTTGGATATAAAGACCCATTCTCCCTAAAGAAAGCTATAAATGTAACATACTGTTGGTTAACTTCCCAACAGGATTTTTAAAAATTTGTTTATCTCAAAAAAGAAATCACCTTGAAAATATTAAAAAGGAAGAGTAATGATGAAAATATTGACCTATTTTGTGTATGAATTGTTGTTATGCTAAAGTTATATTAAAACAAAACATTGAGTGCTGAAGCAGGACATCATAGACAGAAAAAAGGGAACAGACTACAAAATCCAGTAACAGATCAGGCATGTGTAAAATGTGATTCTGAAAAAGGTACAGTTTAAGGCAGTGGAGAAAGAATTTTATAAATGCTATAAAAAGAAATGACCATTTAGAAAACAATTTTAGGTCTTTTTTCCATGCCATAGAACCAGTTACATTTAAATATTTTAATTTAACATGGAAAACCATGTAAGTATTAAAAGAGAATACAAGTGCATATTTCTATAATCTGGTATGAGGAAATCAAAGATAGAAACCAGGTTCACAGTTCTATAACACATCATCTATACGCTGTATTATATGTTTACCACCCCAAGTCAAGTCTCCATCCATCACCATTTATCGCCCCTATATCCTCCACCTCCCTCCACTCCTTTCTCCCCACCACTCCCCGACAGTTACCACACTGTGTCCGCGTCAATGAGTTTTCGCTCTTTTTTTTCTTCTTTTTTGCTTAACCCTGTCATCTGACCCACCTGGCCCGCACTCACCATCCCCCAATCCCCACAGCTGTCAACCTGCTCTCTATCTATGAATCTGTCACTATTTTGCTTGTTAGTTCATTTTGTTCATTGGATTTCACATATGAGTGAAATCATATGTTACTTCTCTGTGGCTTATTTCACTTAGCACAATGCTCTCCAGGTCCATCCATGCTGTCTCAAAGGCTAAGATTTCCTTTTTCACTGCTGAGTAGTATTCCACTGTGTAAATGTACCACAGCTTTTTTATCCACTAGTATACTGATGGACACTTGGCTGCTTCCAGATCTTGGCTATTGTAAATAATGCTTCAGTGAACATAGGAGTGTGTATATTCTTTCAAATTAGTGTTTCGGATTTCTTTGGATAAATTCCCAGAAGTGGAATATGTGGGTCATAAGGCAGTTTCATTTTTTATTCTTAAAAATATATATTTTTATTGATTTCAGGGAGGAAGGGAGAGAGAGAAAAACATCAAGATGAGAGAGAATCATTGATCGGCTGCCTCCTGTACACCCCACACTAGGGATCAAGCCCACAACCCAGGCATATGCCCTGACTGGCAATCGAATCGTGACCTGGTTCATAGATCAACGCTCAACTGCTGAGCCATGCTAGCCAGGCCCACTGCTTTCCACAATGGCTGCAGCACAATCTGCATTCACACCAACAGTGCAGGGAGGGTTCCCTTTGCTCCACATCCTCAGCAACACTTGTTTGTTGATTTATTGATGATAGCCATTCTGACAGGTGTGAGGTGATATCTCATTGTGGTTTTAATTTGCATTTCTCTGATGATTAGTGACTTGAACATCTTTTCGTATGTCTTTTGGTCATCTGTATGTCTTCCTTGGAGAAGTGTATATTCACATCTTTTGCCCATTTTTAAATTAGATTGGTGTTGTTGGTTTTTGGGGTTTTTTGGTGTTGAGTTTTCTAAGTTCTTTATAAAATTTGGATATTAACCCCTTATCAGATGTATCATTGGTGAATATGTTATTCCATTCAGTGGATTATCTTTTCATTTTATTGATGGTTTTCCTTTGCTGTGCAAAAACTGTTTAGTTTCATGTAGTTCCATTTGTTTATTTTTTTGTTTGTTTCCTTTGCCCGAGAAAGGTATATCAGAAAAATATTACTAAGAGAAATGTCAGAGACTTTACTGCCTGTTTTCTTCTAGGATTTTTATGGTTTTTATGTCTAACACATGTCTTTTTTTTTTTTAATCGTGGCCTTTTAAAATTTTTTTATTGATTTTAGAGAGGAAGGGAGAGGGAAAGAGAGAAACATCAATGATGAGAGAGAATCATCTATCAGCTGCCTCTTGCACGCCCTCTACTGGGGATCAAGCCTGCAACCTGACCATGTGCCCTGACCAGGAATGGAACCATGACCTCCTGGTTCAGAGGTCGACGCTCAACCACTGAGCACACTGGCCAGGCTAACATTTAATCCATTTTGAGTTTATTCTTGTGTATGCTGTAAGAAGGTGGTCTACTTTCTTTTTTTTTTTTTTTTTTTTTTTGCATGTATCTGCCCAATATTTCCAACACTGTTTATTGAAGAGACTGTATCTTTACCCCACTCTATGTTTTTTGCCTCCTTTTCGTCAAACATTAACTGACTACAAAGGCCTGGGTTTACTTCTGGGCTCTCTATTCTGTTCCATTGATCCATATGTCTGTTTTTATGTCAGTACCATGCTGTTTTGATTACTATGGCTTAAAGCAGTGGTTCTCAACCTCTGGCCCTTTAAATACAGTTCCTCATGTTGTGACCCAACCATAAAATTATTTTCGTTGCTACTTCATAACTGTAATGTTGCTACTGTTATGAATTGTAATGTAAATATCTGATATGCAGGATGGTCTTAGGCGAGCCCTGTGAAAGGGTCGTTCGACCGCCAAAGGGGTCGCGACCCACAGATTGAGAACCGCTGGCTTAAAGTATCATTTGATATAAGGTAGTGTGAGTCCTCCAACTTTGTTCTTCTTTCTCAAGATCACTGTTGCCATTCATGGTCTTCCATGATTTCATACATATTTTTGGAATATTTATTCTAGTTCAATGAAATACACCATTGGTATCGTAATAGGAATTGCATTAAATCTATAGATTGCTTTGGGTAGTATGGACATTTTAATGATGTTAATTCTTCCTATCCATGAACACTGTATAGGCTTCCACTTTGTATCTTCTTCAATTTCTTTCTATAGTGTCTTATAATTTCGTGAACACGGGTCTTTTACATCCTTGGTTAAATTTATTCCTCAGTATTTTATTCTTTTTGAAGCAGTTGTGAATGGGATTGTTTTCTGGTAGTTCATTATTGGTGTATAAAATTGTTTTTTTAATAGAGTTAGAAATATTTGTCTCATTTAAGAAAAATAACAGCATAAGCACAACAATAAGTGACCCCCAATATTTGGTTAGGGAGTAATAGGGGGTAGTGGAAATTGTGACAAATGAGAGCATACTGATCTCATCCCAGACATGCCCCTCCTCCCCTCCCAATTGTGCAACAACATGGCAGTTTAGAGGCCCCAAAGCCACTCAGTTCTAAGCAATTGTTGCCATGCAAGAATGCAGCCTCAGAATTATCAGATCATATGACCTTTTCTCATGTAAAGCTGAAAATTGCAAATTTTATGTTAAACCTCCCAAATTTACACTGTTCTCAGTTGTTAAAATTTGTATAGGTGCCGGGCCAGTGTGGCTAAGTGGTTGAGCATCCAGCCATGAACCAAGAGTTCGCTGGTTCAGCCCTAACCAGTTTGGTTCAGTGGATAGCGTGTCAGCCCGCAGACTGAAGGGTCCCGGGTTTAATTCAGGTAAAGGGCACATACCTCAGTTGCAGGCTCAATCCCTAGCTCTGGTCCGTCCGATGTTTCTCTCTCTGCCTCCCTTCTTCCCTCCCTTTCACTCTCTAAAAATTAATGGAAAAATATCCTCGGGTGAAGATTAACAAAAAAATAAAGTAAAAGAGTTCACCGTTTCAATTCCCAGTCAGGCACATGCCCAGGCTCTATCCCCAGTAGGAGCTAGCTGATCGATGTCCCTCATGGATGTTTCTATCTCTCTCTCCCTTCCTCTCTCTCTAAAATCAATAAAAACATTTATATACATATATATGTGTGTGTGTGTGTGTGTGTGTGTGTGTGTGTGTATATATATATATATTTTCCCCCCTCAGCTGTGTTTCCTTTTTTTTTTTTAATTGTTTAAAATATTTTCCCCCAATTGACCTCCCTCCTTCCCCCAAAAAACATATTTTTTTAAAAAAAAATTGTGTAGGCAAAACAAAACATATTCATAAGGCCTCAAAGTTAATGAACTCTGGCTGTATAGTTTTGCTTTTGGTTTCCAGATTATGCTTACCACTTTAAATGAGTTGAGACACTTCCTTCCTCCTCCTCCCCACACCTCCCTCTCTAGATCTGTAATTCTCTGGATAACAGAGGAATTATCTATAGAAGTTTAGTTTGACTTCCACATCCATTGCCCTCAGGGTCAGGGACCTTTTTGTGAAGACAAGAGTTTTATATTTCCGGATTTTTTCTTGAGCCAGTTTTGGTAACTTTATCATGGGTATGTATGTATCCAAAAAAACCAGAGTTTATATAAATATATAGGGTTTGGTACTCTTCAGGAATCCAACTGAGGGTCTTGGAATGAATAGTATTCCCCAAGGATAAAGAGGTACTACTGTGCATGTACAAAGATGATGCTGTCTTGGTTCTTAGTCTTTATAACCTAATTTTTAAAATTCTTTTTCCCCCCACAGTTCATCCATGAGCTCGGATTTCCCACATTACAACTTCAGGATGCCTAATATTGGATTCCAGAATCTGCCTCTCAACATATATATTGTGGTTTTTGGCACTGCTATATTTGTCTTCATCCTTAGTTTACTCTTCTGTTGCTACTTGATTAGGTAATCAATTTTCATTCTGTGTTACTTTAGAATATGTTAAACAATCACTAATAAATTAACTTTCTCCCCTTAGGTTAAAAAATGTTATAAGTATTGTAGGGGAGGAAGAAAATTTCCTCTTCTAGGCTCTTTCAGCTGGTCTAATAATCAAACTGCCACAAGATAGATTAATAAGAGAAAAATAACCAAATTTAATTACATACATACATATGGAAACCCCACATACATGGGAGAGTCAGAGACCCCACATACATGAGAAGATTCAGAGACAGAAAGTTAAAATGAGGTATATGTGGCCTTCTGAGCTAAGGATGAGATAAAATGCCTTGGAGCTTCAGAGGGGAGGAAGGTCATTTGAAGGAAGATAAGATGAGCAGATGTTCAGTACATAATTACATGTTTGTCCTGCCCTGTAGGTCATAAAACGTTATTTATGGTAATAACTGTTATTATAGACAAAGCACCTAAGTTAGATTCTTTAAGGAAGAGATAAAGATTTCTCTTGACCCACAGAGCCTCAGTTGCCTTCAGCTCAAAATAATCTACAAGTCAAAGTAGCACATCTTAGGGAGGCCTGTTCTGAACCACTTCAAAATGATAATTAGCAAATTTTTATTTTTTTCTTTCTTTTTCTTTTAATTAGCAAATTTTTAAAACTTAAAGTGGCTTAACACTTTAACATTCTATGAGTTACTGGCCAATAAAACACCTTTATACAGTCTTCAATCCTATTTGCTGATAGGGTGTTTTATTGTAGGAGAAAATTGTTCTCATTTGTTTTTCCAACATATTAGCATCTGAACTGGATACACTTCTGTCATTGTCTGTCTCCAAGATTTAATCTACTTTCACAAAGATTTCAAGATTGCTTTTCAGAAGAGTGCTACATCATTGTTAGCTAAAGTCGTTAAGAATTAGAAAGCAATCTCCAAATAAGATCCAAACCTTTAAACAAATTCTTGTTGTCTCTCAAGAGTATTTTAAGCCCTGGCTGGTTTGGCTCAGTGGATAGAGTATCGGCCTGTGGACTCAAGGGTCCCAGGTTTGATTCCGGTCAAAGGGCATATACCTTGGTTGCAGGCACATCCCCAGTAGGGAGTGTGCAGGAGGCAGCTGATCGATGTTTCTAACTCTCTATTCCTCTCCCTTCTTCTCTGTAAAAAATAAATAAAATATATTTTTTTAAAAATTAAAAAAAAAAGAAGAGTATTTTAAGCTCCCGTTTGTGTTGAACTGATCAGGTGTTCAGGTGATTGATTATCTGCATAAATCACAAAGTATTCCACAAGCTCTGCAGCACATCTACTGACAAGTAATGAAGGGTCACTTAACGGATTAATGGATTTGGCCAGTAAAGATTCACAGTTGACTAATTCATAATTGTTTAAGCAAGCATTTTTCTCTTTTTAAGTATTTAAAATAGGGCCTAATTTTCAAAGCCAAACCTCAGACTATAAAAAATTTTTTAGTGTATTGTTCAAAGAGCTTTATGAAATAAAATAATAGAAAATTAAATGTTATTATACAGCTATACTAGTACATCTGATAGTTTTTAGTGTTTGTACAGTATATTATTCAGGTTAAGATAAATACAATCATCAGATATCTTTCAGCAATAGTTCATTATTGCCCCAGTGTTCCATGGTACTTATTTACTGAAAGTCAAATCTGAGTGAATTTAGTGTGTAGTTTCTAATTTTCTGACAAGTGAATTTATATTCTTCACAGAAGGTGAATCTCCTCTGAAGTTCTCACAAAATGTAATCACTCCTTGTATCTTATAGATATGCTGGCTGCCTATGACTTTTTGGTCTTGCTTAGAGAAATAAATACTTAGCTAATATAATTATAGGATTTAGGAAACACTTTAAAAAATCTGTTTATTACTAGAAATTTACTTTTCCTAACGTTTCTTTAATAATTGTTTGATAAATGTTATGTAAATATTCAGCTTTTTTAAAAAATTAGGGAACTAGCCATAATTAAACAGGACCTCATAGCATTAAAATATTCCTTTTTTCCAAACCTAGTACATTTTTTTTGGAAATTTCTCTACAAATACTGGCTTAATTCAAATTTGTGAATTTAATATTTGAAACCAAATTATTTTTTAAAAGAAGATAAAAATATTTTAAAAGATTCATTAAGGGAAGAGCTTATATAAAATATTCTGAAATGTAGATAGCTCATAGTACAGTTTTTATTACTATGTCAAAGAATTAATTAAGCCTTAGATTTTTGTTTGCTTTAGGAAAAATACTCATATACCAATTGTGATTCTGGGTAAATTTTTTGAGAAATAATTTATGAAACCCTATTTTACCTCATTGTATTTCTTTCAGTAATCAAGCAAGCAAAGGGATAAAGAAAAAAAATCATAGCAGTTGTTTTTATGCTATGATTTCATACTATGATCACCCTGCTGGTCGCTCCGCAGAGGGAAGCAACTGGCGGCAGCAGGGGGTGGGGCTGGCAAGTGGGCAGTGCCAGGCTGGCCAAGGCAGGTGGCAGTGGCCCCTCCCCCCCCCCCCCCCCCCCCCCCGGATCACGCTGCCGGTCGCCCCACCTATAGGCCCTGATTGCCAGCCAGGCCTAGGGACCCTACCCGTGCACAAATTTTGTGCACTGAGCCTCTAGTTTTTAAATATAACTTAAGTTCTTCAGCACCTTCCTAGGGAGCTCTTTTGTTCTCATGCAGAGAGATCCCTCCAGTCATAGCTAGACTCATCAGAACCATTGGAGGAACACAGCTTAGATCTAAACTAGACACCCTCTACCAACCACAGTCTTACACAACATTTTAGTATAGAGTCTGTTGCCCATGACAGGGCTATGAATAGATCACTACTGGAACACAAAAGGACTCTTACCTTGCTAGGAGTTATCCTATATTATAATGAATCATATAATATTCTAATTTATGTTTGTTATTTATCTCTCTCCCTGGATAGAGTCTTGTCTGTTCTGTTTGCTGTATCCCAAACACCCAAAACTGAACAATACCTGGCACAGTATTGGTACTCAATAAATTTTGTTGAGTAAATGAAAGTATGGTGTTTCTAGTAGGAAGTCATTAGTTACACACTGAAAAACAAGGGTAAAATTAAAAACTAAAAATGGAAGGAAAATATCAAGTTACCTAATAGATACTATAAAGTCTTGAACCAAGACAATGACAGTAGAGCTAGAGAGTGTGAGTGTGTTATGGATGGTTGTGAAAAATACTGGGGAGGTAAAAATGAACAAAATTTGGTGACTGGGCATTAAGGACAAGAAAATTATGAGCTTAGAATTTTTCCTGGAATTTTAGCTTAGCTATTGGTTGGATAGCAATCCCTTCACAGAGATAGAAAATGGATGGCCAAATTGAGTGAAAGGATAAAGTTTCTGTTTCACACATGGGAGAACTGTATTCCCTGTGTAACAGTCAAGATGTTTAGTATATAGTTGGATATATAGGTCTAAAGCTTGTGAGAAGTCTGGTCTAAAAATAGAGGGTCATGTAATAATAGGTGGAAGTTGAAGCCAAGAATGTCCCCTAGAAATAATGTGTATAGTGAAATAAAATGGATGCAGGACAAAATCCTAGGGAAACATTAATATTTAAGAAGAGCCCTTGACCTGGCCGGGTAGCTCAGTAGGTTGGAACATCATCCCAATACGCTAAGGTTGTGGGTTTGATCCCCACATACAAGAAGCAACCAATGAATGTATAAATGTGTAGAACAACAAATCAATGTGTTTTTTTTCTCTCAAGTCAATTTTTAAAAATATATATATATACTATTGATTTTTTTACAGAGAAGAAGGGAGAGAGATAGAGAGTTAGAAACATTGATCAGCTGCTTCCTGCACACCCCTACTGGGGATGTGCCCACAACCAAGGTACATGCCCTTGTCTGGAATCGAACCTGGGACCCTTCAGTCTGCAGGCTGATGCTTTATCCACTGAGCCAAACCGGTTAGGGCTCATCAATTTTTAAAAAAAGAAGAAGATCCCATAAAAGAGACTGGGAAGGGATAGGAGAAAGAAGAAAATCATGAGAGAGGTGCTCCACAAGTAGGGTTTCAGTGGATTGAGTCAGTTGTGTCAGCTGCTCCCAGGAAGGTCTAATAAACAAAATATTTGTTAATCGATTGTTTACATTATCAGTAAGGCTTCTGGTCAACAGTAGGTTATTAGTAATTAAGTTTTGGGGGAGTCAAAAGTTTTCTGTGGCTTTTTAATTGTGCAGGAAATCAGCATCCCTAACCCCTGCATTGTTCAAGGGTCAGCTTTACATTTGACAATTAGGTTTGCATCCAAAATCTTGTAAAAGTTTCAGTAGCATGGGTACAGGGGTGACAAAAGGTAAGCTATAATGGGACAAAGCTTCAGCAGCAGGTAATAAATATAACGTTTTTGAAGAATCTTGGCTGAGAAAAGATGGGGGGGGGTTGCTCTAGAAATCAAGGAAGTATTTTGGTGCTTGATTATGTTTTTAAGCTAGAGATTTATAATATAAACTAGAGGCCCAGTGCATGAAATTCATGCATGGGTAGGGTCCCTAGGCTTGGCCAGCAATCAGGGCTGATCTGTGGGGAGACCGGCAGGGTGATGGGGGGGGGCCCTGCTGGCACCCACCTTGGCCGGCCTGGCGCCACCCAGTCGCTGGCCCCACCCCTTGCCACTTGGTCACCTCCCTCTGCCTGTTGGCACCCGCCTTGGCTGGCCTGGTGCTGCCGACTCACAGGCCCCGCCCCCCACCAAACAGTTGTTCCACAGGTCGTTCCGCTGTTCGGTCAATGTGCATATTAAGGTTTTATATAGATAGATATTATATTTATAGGTATTAAGGAGAATGAGCTAGTTACGGAAGATTTGTGAGAAATAATGAATCGTGGAGATGAAAAGAGACATACCTAAAAGTTATAGCACTATTATTCGTAAGCAGGAGAATACCTTCTTAAGACAGGGATGAAGGTAACTTCAGAAAACAATACATATGTAGGAATGTGGG